ACCTGCTGCCTGCTGACGCCCAGAGCTCCATTTCAAAACTTTGTTTTGTCGGTTTGGTTTGAGTGTCATCTCAATTTTTTCGGCAGTTTGTGTGCCTTATACCCATCTGCCCTTGTTGATATAATTAATTGATTTTGAAAATTATTTTTGTGCCTTTTACGGCCGGTTATTTACTCCACGTGTGCAAGTGGTGTGCCACGGTCCGCCATTATCGAGGGTTAATTTCCGACCTCTGTTTATTTCGGTGACGGTTGTTTGTTTCGGCAAACGTTATTTATTTTAACCGTTTTCTGATTTATATTACGGGTGAAATTATTTCTACGTTGCGTACTTTGTACTATCGTATTTTTTCATTTTTTCCCGTGCTATCTGCTTGTAATTTTTTGTTTACGTTCGCTTTAGAGGGTATGTGTCGGTCGGGACAGCGACGAGGTAGAGCTCATGGGTGTTCCCATTTCTTTGTGGAACGGGACCCTCATGATGCTTGTTCCAGGTGTCGTCCTTGCAGTGAGGTTTCGCCTTGTGAACTTTGTTCACAGACTAAATCTCAGGACAGGGACTTCATTGTTCCAAAGCTACCCTCAACTTACCGTAAGAGAGATTCGTCTGTTTCTTCCGGTAAGCGAGGGAAGCAGAGAGGTAGGGGTCGTGCCACCAGCTCTCTGGGGTCTGGTGGTACTGTCTCTGTTCCTGTCTCGGGGGTCTTGCTTCGGCGAGTCCCTCTCGTGAGCAGGGGGTGGCCCTTCCTGTCCAGGAACTCCCTGGAGCATGGGATGGGCAGCCCGACCCTGGCTTGGCACACTCAAGGGTCGAATTGGCCGGGAACGCCCGTAAGCTTTCGCGCTTGCCTTCGGGTAGGGACTACCGGCCGCCGGTCACTGACTCTGTCAGTGATCCCGGTATTCCAGGTGGTGTTGTCGTTGGGGACAGTCTTGGTGCCGGGCCTGTTCTTTCGGGTTCAGGTCCTGGTGTGACGCTTACCCTCCTTTCGGGATCGTATGTGTCTACCGGAATTAGTGACGCGCAGCTCACTAATCCCGGCATCAATGCTGGTCAGGCTTACCCTCCCGGTCAGTTACCCGGACCCGGTCCTATTAGGTCCGGTCCCAAGTTTCATTCTTCTGTGAACCTGGGGGGTTTGCTGGACAGGGGGCTTGTTTCCGGCCTCCGTTTTCCCCTGGCTTATGGTATACGGGTGCCTGCGGGCAACCATCCTTGGGCCTCCCTTACCAGCCTGCGGATGGTTTTGGGTTGCGGCAGCATCCCGGCAGGTACGGGCTTAGCCCGTACATGTCCGGGTTTCCACCTGGAGGGAGTGGCGGTCCACCTTCGCCCTTTGGGCAAGTTGGCCAGCCCCAGTCTCAGGCAGGCCAGTTTGGCCAGTTCTGGGGTCACTCCGAGCCCGCGGGACCTTTCCCTTATCCTCCGCGATATGGGTTTAACCACATGGCATTTCCGTCGTGAAATCCTTGGGGTTTGGTCTCTCCCTCGCGGAGACGTGTTAGTAGTTCTGTTACCCCCCCCCCCCCCCCCCCCCAACATTCTGCTACTTCGGGTGCCTTATCGGCCGGTCCTAAGAAGGTTTGTCGGACCTTTAGGACTTCTGCCTCTCGGGCAGGCTCGTTGGTCTCTGGGTCCAAGGGTAGGGTTTTGGCTACTAAGCCTAAACCTACAGCAACGGCCGTTAGGCGCCCTTCAACAAAACGCCGGTACGGGGAGCCTTCTCTCGGGTTGGCCCCTCTGGCTGGTACATTTCCTCCGCCCGCGGCTTTTGGTCTGGATGGTGTGGAGGCTATGGACGTTGAGGGCGCGCGTATGGCAAGGAACGATGATGTTGTTCATCTTTCACCTGGTTGCTCGTATATAGACGCTGGTCTTTCCGAGTCGTCTGATGACGGTCCTTGGGAGAGCTTGCCCTCAGAGGAGGACTTCCAGGATGAGGGTGACCCTGAGG